TAAATAATAATTCCGTCGGAAATCCGTCGGTTTTTACTACCGTCGGAAATCCGTCGGACGTTTTTCCCGTCGGAAATTCGTCGGTGACACGATCCGTCGGAAATCCGTCGGTAGATGGGTCGTCGGAATTCCGTAGGTGACACGTGCCGTCGGAAATCCGTCGGATCTTCTCGCCGTCGGAAATCCGTCGGCACTGATTCCGACGGATTCCAGTTATCCCTTTTCCGTCGGAAATCCGTCACTATTTCCGACGGATTTCCGACGAGATAGAACCGACGGACCAAAAACGTCGGCGAGCCGTCGGAATAGGGCTTATTCCGACGGTTTTGGGCGTCGGAAAAGTGGCTGTTTTCTTGTAGTGTTTATTATGTTATCGTCGTATTTTGCTTCTTAATTACGCTAGGGTTTTGTGTTATGGCTTCTATTTAAGTAAACCGCTAGACTAGATTGTAGAGCGCTTTTGATTATTGAATAAACCTAGAACTTTTCATTTCATCTCTTCCTTGTTATCGATATTCTTTGTGAATCTAACGATATTCAAGAACCCTCGTTTGAACGCACATTCTTAAGAATCAACGGTTAACTAGCTATCTCTGTGTTCAATATTCCTTTGAATCAACAAACATTTTGGTATCAAAGAAAGCCACGTTCCTGACACGTGATCTCCTCACTCGATCATGTCACCTAGCCATACTATCAATCCTTTCACAACATTTCATCATAGCAACGAACCAATGAACGATTGGGCAGTGTTGCGCCATGAAATTTGTTTGATACATGAAAGGAGTCTGTCAACTATCCGTCGATCAATACATAAATTGGTCGAACATGTTCCGCCACAACGACAACCACATCACAGTGGAAGCATCTAACTCTTTCGCGGAAGATTGGTCGTCTCACAACCGTCGATACAAAACACAGATTCTGATAAGGGACAACCGTCAATGGAAATTGGAATGCAAACTTGACATCCCAGAACTACACCATGGTGTACGAAGCGAGAAGCTTATCGAATCGCTGATGAATCTGAGGACTCTTACGATCAAGTCAAAGACTTTGCCGGCGACCCCGTCTGCGATGTTACCACGAGGATAAGTATCATCGACAGATCAACCGCGAGCCACCAGATCGTAATATAGGTGATGATTCGTCTCTTCGTGGTGAGGAAATAAAAACCTACACTCAAAGCTGGTTTTGATCGTAGATCGAATTTATGATGCTTATGATGGAGAAGCCAAAGGGTTAATTGGAATCGAAGTGATTAACACTCTTGTATCACCAAGAGGAAGACAACGTATAATGAAGCACAAGGGTAAAAGAAATCAAGCTCATACAATTTGTGTGCAAAAGGCAGTGATGAGTTCACGACAACAATGGTTTAGCTTCGAAGCTAACACGATTAAATCAAAACG